ATTATTATTTTTTTTTTTTTTTGAAAATAATCAATCACCTTAATTATGGGGATGGCAATGGCTTGGCCTTTTACCCACGAGCTCGTTACAAACAAGCCGAGATTGAGCTCTCGAGCTCGTCATTTTTTTTTAAATGCTTAAAATAGATAAAACAAAAAATAAATAAATCGAACAAAAAGATTTGATTAAAATGATTTTTTTCTTTTTCTTTTTAAAATAAATTAAACTAAACTCTTTTCCTTTATCCGGGTTTGGGATCAACTACTTAAATTTTGAGTAGGTATAATTAAAAATTGTACACAAACAACTTGTAACGTGTACAATTTTTTAAAGATAATTAAAAATAATATTATAAAATAACAAATTGTGATTAAACTAGTATAATTAAATATCAATTACCTAACGACGTGTAATTTCTATATATTTATCATGTATTCGAAACTGAGCGTCCTGTCAATCATTTACATACATTAATATTTCTAAAATATCTTCTTTCGATCGACTCCTGACATTGGGCAAAACCCTCTTACCTGCACTAAAAACAAACCCCAAAGCTACAGTATTAACCGAAGGTATCAGTAAATCTTTTGCAATTGCGAAAACTATCGACCATCGTCGTTTGTACCTGGCCAGAATTCAATAACTTCATCGGAACTTTTTTTAATTATTTAATTAGGAGTCATGTTATGATTAAAGTAATCAATTAATTCAGCAGGCAAAGTATTTGTACTTCAGTCCGATGTTTGGGCCGATGGAGATGCAATAGACAAAGTATTACTAGATAAAGATGAACATATTGCATTTGAATTATACCTATGCATGTTAATACCTTGAAATAAATTATATATTTCAGCATTGTCTTCTTCAAGTTCAGCAGAAGGAGTAAGCGCAGAGGGTACTCGACTAATATTTGTACTCATTCGTTTACCATCTAATTCATACATTTCACTTAAAGTTTGTTCTAAATTTCTACATGTGATAGATGTGCCAAAAGGTTTTAGAAATTTGATCAATTCTATGTTTAGTTCCCGATAAATTATATCGTGGGTCTATTATGCATGTTAAAGGAAATAACATAAATAAGTATTCTCAATATTTTATAAACTTCAATTCCATGGAGTATATAACTGCGCTAAAATTAGAATCATTTTTTGTATTTATGAAAGGTCATTACAATTATGTAAAAGCGTTATAGCACCATACATCTAGTGGGATAGTAAATTTTAGATAAAATATTTGTACTATTATAAAAACTTGTCAAAAATCTTTTTAACTCTTAAAGGTAAAAGCCAATTGAATTATTTCAGAGTAGTATCATCATCGTTTCTAATATGTCTATTATTGTAAAGCTCAGTTATTAAATGTTCAAAATCTTCACATATCATTAACAATAAGTGAAGTTCTATCTATGGCCTATGTCACTAACAAATGTTTTAGAATTCAGCTCCCCAAATTCTGCACAAATTTCTCAAATACTTGTTTTTCTATTAGGGGAGATCGTGATATATATTAATGCATTCCTAATTCTTTGTATTTCATCTTTAAAGTGTTACAAACCATCTTGCATAATTAAATTCGAAACACAACGAATATAAAACAAATAACCACCGAAATTAGGCTATAATACTCTACACAATTTATCGATAACTACTCTATTAACACTAGCGTTGTTGAATGTAAAAGAACGAATTTTATTTTCACACCGATATTATTTAATAATAGTCATAATCACATTATATATATTATTAGCGCTAGGTGAGAATTCAATAATTTTAAAAAAATAATTTTTTATGCATAAACCAAAGTGGGTCGATGTAATGTGTAGTTGCAGCTATATAAACTCTTTTATTAATCATCTCCCATATATCTAAAGTTAAAGATATAACACCACAATATTTTTACAAAATCCAAAATTAATTGTTGTTTGTTTGAAGAAAATACTCTATTATGTCTAAACGAAGAGTGTTTTGATTTATCTCAACGTACCTCGATTGACGATATTCTTTCACGTATGAGACGAAAAGTTGGTTGTCCGCATTGCAAGATGCAACTTAGCACCAGCAATAAGTTTCATCATTTCTGTTCAAGCATTCTCATCGGAATGCATCCACGTGTGATGGGCGAAGTTTTTAGTACCAGCGCCTGGACTATCGAATTGCAGTTGTGTTTGACCGACTTGAAGAAGTTCATGTTTAGGCGCGCATGCTTTGTAGTGACGGTTGAGATGGGTGGTGCCAATGCCTTTTTCCCATACTAATCGTTGTTGGCATTATTTACAAACTGCTTTGGACGCTGAGACTCCATCAACAACACGGCCCGTCGAAATCAATTTAAAGTGATTCCAATATTTTCTCTGATTTTTCCTTTCGCTTCCCTCTAGCATCGAGAATGTTTAATTCGAGTTTCTCCTCCTCTTAGGCTTCAGGAACATCGATGTCATCCAAATCAATTGGATTATTGCTGGGGTCCGCGCCCCAAATTTGGAATATCTTTAGGAGTTGATACTTTATTTAAATTGGATAGTTGATTCTGATATTGACTTTGCAACGTCGCAGGTGATTCGCCTTCGGCACAAAACAAGCTCTCGACAAATGACCATGGATCCATTTCAATTTGTAAATTGTGAAGATACAATATAGATTAATAAATGATTATAGGGAAATGATTGAATTGTAAAAAAGAATTGAAATTGAAGATGATTAAATTGTAAAAATGAATCTATATAATATGAATATATTGTATAATTATAGACTAATTGAGAGTCGAGATAAATCAACTAAGACTTGAGAGCACAAGAGAGATTGAGAAAAAGAGTGTTGAGACTCGAGAATCTTGAGATAATGAGATTTGAAAGTTGAGAGAGTTGATGAAACATGTTAGATCAATAGTGATTTTGTGGGACTGTTTATAGAAGGAGGGAAGAGAAGAAAGAAATAATAATAATAATCATAATTTCAGCGACAGAAACGGTCACTGGTTATTTTTAAAGTGACCAAAACGATCATTTTTTTTTAAAAGTGACCGTTTTGGTCATTGTTCAAGACGAGCCACGAGCGACTGGATTCTTGACTTGTCTTGAACGAGCTTGTAAACAAGCCACAAGCTGCTCGCCCAACGAGTGGTCCTCTTAGCTCGGGCTCTTTTTTCACGACTGGAGCCGACAAGCCACTATACCCGTTTGCCATCCCTATTTAATTGATTCTTTTAAACTATGGAAAACCCCTAATGGCTATTGGCTAGTCTTTGTTTACAAAATTGATATGATAAAATTAAAAAGTAATAGCAATGTTCTTTAAATAATTTTGACATGCCATGTTCCATATTCAATTTTATATATCTCTTGATCTTCATAATAAAAGTTCTTGAAAATGTTAACTAAATGATTAAAGATTCTCTTTTCGGTGACATGTTAGAATTGGACATTATAAAGGCTTGTATATTTCTGATTATTGGGTGAGGTAAAAAAATTTCTTGTATTTATAAATTTGATTATTATTATTTTTTTTTTTTACCCATGTCAAATATGTTCTTAACACGGACTGCTCAGTCCTTTACTTGGACCACCTCTTTACTGTAGTCGATATAATTGTCCTCATTTGGCTCCTATTAAATTAAATTTCATTTTTTTCTCTCATATTTTTAATTGCACAATTTTTCATAAAATAATGTTACACTTAAATTGAAATTTTTTCCTTCTTTTTCAACAATTCATTCTCTAAAATATATTATTCCACCAATTATAATTTGAAATAGCTGGGGCGAAACTGTGGGCAAGGTTTTCGATCGCTTAAAATTTAAATGAGTTAATTGGGATTACTAGTATTTGAGGTGGTTAGAGTGCTATTAATTAATAGTTTGAGGGGATTGAGTGAATCTTATTAATTCTATTATGGCCTTCAATTATAATAAAGGCCCATTAAAAAATCCAAGCCAACTTGATTAAGCCCTTGTTTGGGTTCTATTAAACCAAAAATACAATTTATTTTTTTTAAATTCATTTTCAATCACACATTATTCAATAAAATAATATTACATGCAACCTCAACACCGTTTCTTACCTTTTAAGCACACATTTTCAAAATAATAATAATAATAAACAATAAAAATACCATTTCAAAATACATTTTTCCAAAAATCTAATAAAAATAGAGCCCAGACAAGGGCTTATATTGTATGAGTGCAAGACACTAGGAAAAGTACAACGTAATATTGCATATTGATTTGTTTAAGTAATATGTTAATAATTAACATATTAATATGTTAATAATTGTGTATCGTAAATCGTAATGCTTAAATTGCTCAAGTAGTGTCTTGTTTATTAATCTTTGCTCAACTTTAGTTGTAAAATTCTATCAAGATATCCAACTCAATGTCATGTAAAGTGGCTAATAACATTCTATGATCAACGTGAACTTGGAGATCATTCAATTTAAACCCCCGCCCCCATGGGCGGGCCTACAATTATTTTATTACTCGTAGCCCCACCCCTATGTGAGGGAAGTGTCATTCGAAATGTCAATCTGGATGTACTCATAACATTTTTCTTCAATTTAAGCCCTTGTTTGATTCCTAATATTTTCAAAGTACATTTTTTTTTCAATCACACATCCAAGAGTTTTCATTATTTTTAACCATACATTCTCTACTAATCTACTATTCCAAAAATGCATACTTAGCCAAATAATGAAGACTTAAACAAGATCCATATGTAATAGATCTCTTACCCCCCAATGGGTAAGACAAAAACTTCTCTCCAACAACCTTAATTATGATTATCTTACCATGTCAACAGTGAAAAAATTTATATCCTGTCCACTTGAAACAGGAGATCAGGCTTCTCAGTTTAGGATATTCGTTTATTTTTGCTTGACTAGCCTTGACTACTAATGGAGAAAGCCAAGTTTAGTCGAGTACAATAAGATTTCTATAGGTCGAGAATCCATACATACAAGTCGTGACTACAAATAGACTTCTGAACTTCATTTTCGACTTTCTATCAATTTGGTTAAGGCTTTCTGTTTTGTGATAAACCAAGAACAATGTACTCCCACTGTATCAAGTAAATGAAATTTACAAAAGTTCATCTCAAAAACCAGATCTGTTACCATGGCTTAGGTTGACTGACATAAAAGAAACAGACGAATACAGAGAAAACGAAAAAAAGCTCCTCTTCTTGTTCAACAGTAAGACAAAAGGCTTGCTAACGATCCAACAAATGAACAAAACAATGACTAGATTTTAACTTCTCTTTTGTATCTCAAAGGAATAATCGACCTCCATATGGCATCTTTTATCATCATCTTCAAACTGCACGAAGTCATACCAGAAAACAAAACCATAAAAAATATGTTCAGCTAAGCTAAATAAAAAGTAACAAGAAAAGCGGGATTTTGTACTGAAAATCAAAGAAAAGTTAAAAGTAGCTTCCGAGTGTAGCAAAACATGCTATAACATGAATTGATTGTGCCTATTTGTCAAGAACTTGAGAATTTTTTGAAGTGTCACTGCCATTGAAGAAGACTCAGCAAATTCAGACTATTTTTCTATTGACTGAAGAGGTCCAGTCGAGTTCCTTAGAGAGAGTTGTTAAACATTCGATTCAGTAAAAAGCGTGCCACCAGATAGTATCTGATTGTTAAATGTCACTGCCACTAGGATCACGGTTATATATCATTGCACTAAAGAATTTGCCCAATTCTGTGTGTCATACTTCTAAATTGATGCAAAACCAAAATGACTAAATTACTCAGCTAAAAAAGTCACACAAGTCACATTGCAACTGCACACACCTTAAGCTTAGCCGTGTATGTTCCTCTAGCAAGAACCCCAGATGGAGTCGTCTCCTCCTCCAAGGTGTGTACATATGGTTCTCGCTGAGGAGCAAAAGTGCCCAACATACCTTTGCTTTGATCAACTACAAAGAAAATTCAAAGGAAATAACGGATTAGCAAAAGTGAGCAGTTGTCTAAATGTGGGCTTACCTATGTATATTTATGGATCAAAAGAGAACGAGCTTAAAAAATGTTACAACTTCTTTTTCCATATATTACCAGACTTCTCCACCAGTTTATTGTACCATCTAAGAAAAAAATAATCTAACTATAAGCAAGTATTCTTAAAAAATTTTAGAATGTGCCTTTATTAAAATATATTCCACTCTATTCGTACAAGGGATACAACTTCGAAATCAAAGTGAAGTGAGCTATGAGAATTCAGATTTGTAATGTCTAACAAAAGAGACTAGGATGTAGAGTCCCAATATGTGTGACCAATGGGTCAATGGAATGAAAATGCCCATCATATTATCATTTTTCCCCTTCCGTCTCCAAAACTGTGATCAGTTAGTCATCGAGCAATCAGAACTAAGTAAATAACTAAAAGTTGGTTTCCAAAGCTATACATAATACATCCATTTATTCCCAGTCATTCTCAATTTATGATTTCTACACAAGTAAGGATGCAAGCAATCAGTAATGTATGCATATATAATGTCAAAAAAAAAAAGGCCCATTCTGAACCTTGGAGTCCAGACTTCCAAACTGTATTCGTGTAAGCCAGGCCAGAAACGATGTTGTGAAGAACCGTGAATGTTAGCTTAAGGCGGTAATCAGAGCCCTCCCTGAGACTAAAAAGTACACGTCTGCTCTGGTCTTCAGTAATAGGCAAGGGACTATTTAGCTCCCCAAAATCAGAGGATAAAATTCCAATTGACTGAAATTTAACCTCAGGCTCCATTTGTCCTAACAAATTAGACACGGTTACTATTGAAAAAGCAAGATGAATATACAGAGTGAAGGGTGCAATATAGAGGAGCAGCGATTCTTAAGACGAACCATTTAAATCACTTTCAAGGCAGCCGAGAAGCTTCTCTTTCCATCTTCTTAAGCTCTCATCCTCCTAAGGGTAACATAAAAAATTAGTTGGATAGTATTCCAAAGATCTCAAATATTCACAATAACACCAATTATAAATGCTCAATTAATAGAATATACAATTATATGACCACCTTTGACACCACTAGAAGGGTTGAAATCCAGGTTAGTTCTAATAAGTTAAAACACAAATGATGCAGGGCATCATTCATGAAAATGTGAATTCACAAGCAATCGGTACTCTATGTGAACCAACGAGTTCAATTCTCAGTGCTGTGTGCGAATTAACGAGATAAAGATGCCAATTTATTGGTAAGAATTACATTTATTTTACAGTTTCATACATGTTGCTCCAATTTAACTATCGAATTTCATCTTCAAACTCCAAAAATATCGTTGAAACACCTGTCTAAAAGCATAAACTTTCGGGGACAGATGCATTTATTTATTTATTTATTATCTTCAACACATCCATCACAAGTACACTGTACACAAGATTCAATTTTTCACCGAAAGCCCGATAAAATCACAATTTTCATAGATAACTACATTGAAAAAAGCCTAAAATTTTGCAGAGAAATCTAAAAGCAAAAAGACTGAGAAAATTTAAAACTTGATAAACCTTAGAGGCTAGAGCTTTAGAAAGGGTAAGAAGAAAAACCTTGTCTTTTTCAATCTGTTCTTTGAGAGGAAGAAGAGGACCAGGATTAAAATTCTCAAAAGCCCTTTTATTTTCTTGATCGATTTCGTCAAAACCCGCTTCCTCATAATCAAAACCCTCTTCATTTTCTTGTTTTTGCTCTTCTCTCACTGAAGCACTTGGCCCGGCTTCTTCTCTCTTACCACTCTCCATTACACTAATGCTAAAATTTTTGAAAAGGGACACTCAAGAACTACAAGGGACTATAAATTGAGAATATATTTTGTGGGCAGACAAGAAAATCTGTCAAATGTTTGATTTTCTCTCTCTAGAATTCTTGGACAACCAGACAAATTTCACTTATCGTTGTCGGAGGGGCTGCCCTTTTTCGCGTTATCTCTCTCTCTCTTGGACGAAGATAAATGTGAATGTGCAGTGATTATCATTCTTTGATGGGCACTGTTCTTGTTTGAAAGATGCAGATTTCGAGATTGTCTGTACTTTTAAATTTTAATAATGAATGTTTTCCAATTATTTTGTTCTATAGAGTGTATTTTTGTGATGTACAGAAAATAATTTTGATGATTTTTTTTTCATTTATTATTCTTTTCCTTTTATTTTACACTTTTCCTTTTCCTTTGTTTGGCTTAAATTAAAAAATTAATTTTTTACTTATATTTTCAAGAAAAAAGGTCAATAATCTCATTTGAGATCTCAAAGAGACGTAGCAATCGTGTAATAACATAACCAGGTATGAGAAATCATGGACTACAAAATTGAAAATAGTTGTCATTATAATTAAAGGTTAAATATTTGCTTATATTCAATTAAGGGTTTATTTGAGCTCAATTTTTAGGATTAATAAAATTTTAAAATAATAATTTTTAAAAAAATTTAATATTAAAAAATAGAAAAAATAAATAAATTTAGGTGTAAAATTATTTTATTTGAAAAATGTATGATTTGAAATGAATTTTAAAAAGAAATGAATTTTCGAAAAACCAAGTCATAAAATAGTCAATTACAATCATGTGAAAAGCAATATAAGCCTCCATTTGGCCCTTATTTTGTGAAAATGAAAATGATTGGAATAATGTTTGTTTGTTTTTTATTTTTTTTTTAAAATGAGTGGTTGAAAAAGAAAGAAATTTTTTTAACTTAATGGAAAATTGTGGAGTTAAAAATAAAAGAAAGAAAAATAAAATGTAATAAAATGAATATTAATTAGGGCCAAATGGGATGTTACTCAAAAAGGGTCCCACATGATCTATTCACAACCAATGGTCATAGAATTCGTGATCGTCGGCGTGATATTTCACTAATAATCAACCCAACTACAGTTATGGAGAAACGTGTTCATACGGAAGAAAGGAGATTCAAACCATTTGAATTTTAAAATAAATAAATAACAAGGATTCAGTAAAATTGCAAAAATGCTTTATACATTTGTCGAGTCTTTCCTCGTCGTGTCACAATATCCCTCTTCATCTAGTCGACTCTCTCAATATATGAGATAAAATTTCATCAGGTTACCGCTCCCATCATACCTACAAGAAATTATGCACACACCGAACAACCTCCTTTCAAGAATACGAGCTTTCATACTTTTCAGCACACATGCAGCATAAAACTAAGACAAGATTCAAGAAACAGATCATACTTCCGTGGTATTTTCATTGGTCAAGACGAGAAATTTACAAAATAGCTCATCATCTGAAAGGCTGTACAGGTTCCGTCTCTTCAAGGAGTGTAGCAGCCTCAAAACATTCGGCAGCTTCCAGTGCTGATTCCCCACCCTCTTCCTTGTAAAGTAGGCCAAGATTATACCATGCGGAAGCATTCATTCTGTCGAGTCTAAGTGCTTCTGACAGAATGCTCCTGGCAATTGAAGAAGACTGGCTATCAATCCGTCTAAGAACCACCGCCTTGGAGACTAGACTTGGGACGTGCATTGGATCAACATCCAGAGCTCGCATAAATGCCTTCAGTGCTTCTTTGTGGCGTCCCTTTGCGTCGTGAAGCAAACCTGCATATATCGACCGAAATGAATGAGTTCACTCGACCAATCATGAATGCAAGCACGTGAACAGAAAAGGGGGATGGGAAATCAGAAATTCTGGCGGCATCTAAAACTTGCCACCTATAAGTTAATGTTTGAACATAGTATTGCATCGTACTAGACAAGACAAAATACAAAATTCAGCAGACGGGATCTTTCTAACCTCCCTTACATGCAGTAATGAAAAAAGAGGAATTGATGTTCTTAGCATCATATTATAGTTTGCGAAAGAAACCTATATTTATTATTATCAACATCATCCCAACAGGACCAAGCAAACGCCACTGTCAAACCATTTAGATTGAGGGCCTTTTCTCTATCCATTGTCGAATATGACCATTGGTCCTCTGCCTCTTCAAAAAGTCTCTCCAACCATGAGACACAATCCTTCCTGACAGAGCACTTGTTTATAGGATAAAAATCTGATCCTCAGTGAACGGTCTGAAAAAGGTGATTTTCTCCTCAAGCACCCTACAGGCTACAAACAGATATCGTACAAAAAGCCTGATAATAAATTATTGTATTTCATTCAATTTCTCGACTTCTCTCTCGAACAACTGTATTCTTTCAACAGAACCTCTTAAGATTCATGGTCAAGTTAGTGAGTTCTACCTTTGTTTGCTCCTCTGATTATCTCCAGATTCTCTCCTGAGATGAAAATTTTCTTATTACACATATCCACTATAATTGGTATCATTTGATTACTTGTGAAAAATTAAAGAGATATTGAAACAATAAACAAGCCCAACAAACTATACTCTCAAAGACCATTGCACTTGGTTCTCATATAAATGATTAAGCATAAATGCGTTCATACAAAACTGAAAAGACCAATTTGGATCTGTCTTTTTAACTTTTTCTTCTTTCCTCTTTGAGCTTTTCTTTACAATGAAACAGAAAAAAGAATGGTAGACAAGATGGAAAAAGGAAATGATATAAAGAACAATGAGTATTATATGGTTGTACCAGCCGTATGCCATCTAGAAGCAGAAAAAGAACTGATGGCTTCAGATTTAGAAAGACAGATCTCAACATCACGCCACTGGGACAATCTTATGTAGATGGAAGCCAGATCGTGCCATGTTTCCATCTCTAAATTCTTTTGGTGGTTTTTGTTTTCCTGTCAATTACATAGAAAAAATGGCACTTCAGTGTAAACATAATCTCCATTTATTTTGTTTCAGGTGGGTGAGTAGGTGGATTGAGGAGAGGAGGAAATGAGTTGATATGCTTACAGAAACATGTCCAGCCAATTTTTATGAAGTACAAAAAACGAATAATAAAAATAATAAAATCAATCATCCTAAGGAAAGCAGCAGTTCATATTATCCTGGATCCATCAAATTTGAATATATTTTTGCAACAGTCTTCTTCCATTTCATAATCAAAATGGAGATTCAAAGTACTGCAAACATGCTGACATGGAAAACGCTTTGCAGAAAGCCACAGTCGCAGATAATATATATATATATTTTTTTATTGTCTTATTTTGGTGGGTATAGTGAGGTGTAATTTGTAAATTGTGAGAACGAAGTGTGACAGAGAATTTCGACAGGCTTTTTATTGGTATGACATGGTACAATTAGATACTGTATATATGATTATATGTAATAATCTAATTATGCACAAAAATGTTATATTTAAATATTTCGTGTACTTAAATTCTCAGATTTTATGATTGTATGACAATGATTTTTCGATAAATAGATACATAATATGTATTTGAATCCTATTCACATGTAAATATTTACATTTTCATAATTATTTTAAGCAAATCAGATGATTTAGTTGATGTACAACTACAGGATTTGGGTAGGTGTTCAACTCAACTTATCCTCAACGTCTTGATGTGAATACAAAATCCTATTCCACCCTTGAACTAAATTTCAGCACTTCTGTCAAATTAAGTGCTTCGACCGTTCTTACGACTTCAATCCAAGTAGTTTAAGGTTAACCTGTATCTTGTATAGGTCTTTCTAACAGCTGCTGTCAAATTCTCCATACACATGGTTAAACCATCCTCCTTTTAACAAATAGGTTTTCAACCATCCAAGCAACAAGACATCCAAGAGTTGCTGGATTCATTTATAGAACTTAAACAACCATTTCAAATGTAACTAAATAATGTTCATCATCAGTTGCAAGGGAGTGATATATATTAGTCTAACAAGCAAGTGACAAACGCACCTTTTGCTTCTTCCCTGAACCAAAACTTTTCCTCTGAACCCGAAGAACAGCGAGAAGTTGAGTATATGTTTCTATGGCCTCCTTCACTAGATCCTGTGCAATTTGTAGTTTAGCCTTAGTCTGCAGCAATTCTCCTTGATCCCATTTTCCAGTCTGATCTAGAGCTGCATTAATGATGGTTTCAGCATCAGGAAAACGTTTCTGTGCAGATAATATTCGAGCCAAAAGTATCCATCCTTCAAGGTTAAACCCGCCTTCCAATTTAAGCAAACACTTTGCATAATGAAGTGCAGTATCCAACTTCCTTTGCTCGGCATTTTCTAAGCAAAGTTGGTAAACGATACCGGGGTCACTCATTCTTGTCATTGTCCCAGCAATTTCCAAGGACTTGAGAGCCTCAGATTGTCTTTTAAACCTCTCACTATCTCGCACACGTGATCTAGAATATGATGAAAGTGAGATGCCTAGCATGCAATTGGCAACACCTACCAACTGATGGCATTTTCCGTGCAAGTTCTCAATTGCCCTGTCAGCAAAAGAAATTCCATCTTCTGCACATTTTGTGCTCTCCCCACATATCTTTGAAGCAAATACGAAAGACAGAACACATGTAGGATCCTCATGACCTTTCAACATCTTTTTCCATAAATTCAAAGCAGATAAGTCATCACCCTCTCCATGATAACAGAGAGCTAAGATGTGAAACCTTTCTTTCCGATCTATAACCCCAGGCAGTAATTTTTCCACTTGATCAGCTAAAGCCCTTAGCCCACCTGATATAGATAACGCATATGAAAGGTGATCCAAAATTGATGGATCCCACTCAATTTTCTTGAGGGTAAATTTCCTTAAAAGAATTATCAAAAGAAGAATAGCTTCCTCAGTATTGTTTCTAGGCACAAATGCACGGTCCATTTGGGATTGCAGACTTGGGGGAATTGCTTCATCTCCACTGTACAGAAGAAAAATGGCAAACTCTTTTTGTATCTTAGCTGTAGTTTGTGCATCAAGGTTCCATTGATGTAGAAGGGCCCGACGGTAAGACAAAATAGCTTCACTGGGACAATCAGCAAGTTTCCATAATCCTGGAAGCAGCTCTACAGCCTCGTTTATAGTTTCCTGCAATTTACAGTCACCGCCAAAGTTTTCAGGCAAGCCTGCTGGTAATGAAGATTCAACAATGTCCAGAATAACTGTGCATGATTGAGCAGCTTCTGCAAAGATGATGAAATCATAAATCAGAAAACCATTCACAATTTGTCAATTCATCAATGTCATAAATTGTTTATACACTAGTTATCCAGTGCCTTTCCCTTTCCTTATAAAATATAAAAAGGACAAAAAATGAAGAGGAATTAGCAAGTAGCAAGAAATGCAGATATCTGAACTTCCTGAAGTTCTAATAAGCAGAAGTTCATGTTACAGTAACTATCTTGTGAATATCAAACTATAATTTGTTAAGTAATGTTAAATATCATTGAAATCCTCAGAGAATCTTCAGATGTTATTTATATAGATGGCTCTAACAGTCATAACCTGTATTAATGGAATCACTGTGCATTAAATATTACATTTAATAAAATACTACATTTGATATTATTCAAAACAAAGACCATTATAAGCCTGATAAGCGCAAAGAATCTTTATAAAACTAAAGAATATATATTATTTAGGTGATTGCAGTGAAGGAAAAAAGAGAATATAATAACAAACTGAACCAGCATGAAGCCATAAGATACTGTCGAAGCCAAACATTTAATAAAAAAATTTGTCCCCCCCCCCCCCCCCCCCCCTATAGTACTTGAGCTTTAAATGAGGTGGTTCATCACATACTTATTTGCAGATAACAAAAGGATGATTCACCAATAGCGTGTGAGCTACCTTTATACCTCCCAAGTGCCAGTAATGATTTTGCTTTTAGAAACATTGCTTCAAACAGCAAGCTAACGGCATGTATCGACATTGGTGGTGATGCAAAATTTTGTGACCGCCTCTTAAGAGTTTCACCACTTTTAGAAAGAGTAATTTTCACCTTTGGAGTCACTGCAGCAATGTCTATCCCTTCAAAGACATGTAAGGCCGCTTCTAGGTTCCCTTTCTGATACTCGTACCTTCCTAACAATGCTCTGGCTTCCTGGAATATGATGACTTTTTAGTCACAGTTATAGTATATAAAGAAGCTACCATTTCATTGCAGCACAAATTAATAGGGCATGTTTGCTTTTTCTTAAAAGTCAATCTTTCTTTACGTTACTTATCAGGCATGATTTTGTTTTTTTGTTTTTTTTTTGGGGCAACAAAAACTTACTTTTCTAGAAAGTAAGTCTTAACTTTCTAGATAAGTAAGTTTTAAGCACAGTTAAAAATGTTCTTACTCAAAGACTAAGCATAACCATGATACAAGTATTTTAACTCTGATGATAGAACAGATTTTGTAAAAAACATCATTACATACATGGATGAGAAAGTAAAGCAAAATTAAATCCAAATGAGTGAAAATTCAACCAAGAAACATCAAAGGTATGTTGGCATGAGAACAATTAGAGAAACAACCTCGTAATTTAAAGAACCGCTTTCGCGCAATGATGATTCAGCTTCTTCAATATTGCCAGTGTCAGGTTTCCGTTCAGCTTCTCCGGCTTGAGATGAATAAACACTGTTTGTATAATCTTTGTTTGCAAGAAATTCTGAAGAAGGGACCATTTCTTCTCCACGTGGTTGTTCCCCCGACCAAAGACACTGCATTATCTTTCCCAACTTAACACTAATCCGATCCTTCCTCCTTTCTTTAATCTGATTCTCATTCCTCATACTGTTTTAGCCCTCCTGCAAGTCTTCAAAACAATAAGACAGACAATTAGAAAAATATATATAATCATGCCTTATTAAATAATATGCAGTCATAATTACAAGCATCCCATAAAATTTCTTACAATCAGTGAACTACAGTCAGAATAACTAACCACTACATCTCAAAATATACAAAGTTCACTTGTTTTATCCAATGGTAATGTTCGGTAAGGGAGAATCAGGAATACTTCACAGTATTAACCATAAAAAAGGCTTAAATCTTGTCCATTTTAATGTAGTAGAGGCTGAGCCCATCAATCATACAGCTAAATAATCCCAAAGAAGCACAAGGCGGGGTTTACCTAGTGTGCACCTTCGGGTAGCGCCTGCGGGTTCCCTTGTCAACAAAAAAAAAAAAAAAAATCCCAAAGAAGAATTGAGAAATAGGAACTTCAAACCCAAAACCAGAATTCAATCTTCAAATTCTTGTAAACTCTCCTATGAGTTATGACCCATTTCATAATTCAACTTATATCACCCAAATCAAAGTCTCTGTAACCCCTTAATACTACCTAGTGATCGTCAGATTCACAATTCAATACACCAAGACCAAAAAAATAAAATTAAAAATAAAAATAAAACTCCAGATTCTACAAATTAAGAAAAGTTTCGTACATAAATTGCTTGAATCAAATTTAATAATCCTCTAAAACAAACATAATTATATATCAATTAAAAGAGGAAAACATATACACACGTTTACCTCTCACTGTCGAAAGAATAATACAGAAAGCAGATGTTCGAAGTCCACGTAACACCAAGACCAGCCCACATCTCTTCTTGTAACCGATCAAAAATCCCAATTCTTCAAAGAGATATCTATAATCTTCGATCAAACAAGATTCTCAAAAAGTTTAAAGAACCCTTTATTTTCTTTTTCTTCAAACAGGTTGTACAATGCAATTAAACCGAAGTAAACTTGGATCTGATTTGTAGGCAGTGTTAAAAAAGACAGAATCGAAATTTGAACAGAAGCCCGAGAAAGAAGACTTGATTTGTTAAAAAGGGAGCCAATGTAATAAAAAATCAAGAATTAAGAATATTCAATTCTGCTAAATAATTATATATGGCAGTGTGGATTTGGGAAACGAAAATTCTATAAATAGTCAATTTTATAAATTTTTAGGGTTCTAAGGTGAAGCAGGTGATGTGCTGCTACATGAATAAGTTTCCATTTCATGAGTTTTTGTGCTGTCTGCTTTTGAAAAGATAAAACGGTCACTCGTTAATGCTGACAAAAAGTTACAAATTCTCAAGGACGATCTTTGTTTTCTTCCTAGTTTCATGCCCAATAGATTATGGTTTGGAATCCATGTTGGTATGATCCATTTCTTGTTGGAGACTAATAGTACATGACATTTTAACGAAATTTTTAGACAGTATTTTCATAAATTTTTAGACAGTATTTTCATATGAGATTAATCCTTCGTTTGTTTTTGATTTTTCACCCCAAAAAATCAATATTTTGATAATTAGTTTCAATAGTCCGCTGTCAATTTTTAGTTCTTTACTCACAAAAAGAACTCACATTTTCCTTTAAAAATCACAAAATTGATTCCCATAATCACTATCGAACATGTCCTAAATATATTTGTTTTAGATTGAAGTGTATTCTTATATTTGCTTTATATAGCCTATTGTGTAAACATTTTTACCAATCTATCATTAGCACGAAAAAAGAACAAAGTTTTACCGCCTAGATTCGAGTCTCCTATGGCCATAAAGATAAAATTTTTGGCAAAAAAAAGAATAGGATAAGCTAACTTCTAGATTATGTGCCCGACTTTAAAGATCTTGAGAGATACACTTTAGGGTAAATTGCAATATTCGTCCCAAACTTTTGAGCAAAATAGCAGACGTACACTTAACCTTTTATGTTCGATTTTTGTTCACAACCTTTGAAAATTTAGTAAAGCCAACATTTTAAATGGCTTCCCCCCAAAAATCTGTCAAACTTAAATAAAATGGCAAACTTGCTTCTTTTTAACATAAAAAACAAAAATATATAAAGGAACAGAACAAAAGAACATATAAAAATAAAATTTAAGTTTTATTCAAGTTAGGGGGTAAGATTGCATTATATGGATGAAATATACTAATTTTCCAAAGATCAGAAACAAAAATTCACAAAAAAAAAAAAAAAAAATGTTGAACGTAGGTCTACTACTTTATTCAAAGGTAGGGAATAAATAGTATACTCTACCCTACATTTTGATAAATATGACAAAAAATGCCCTGTGTCGCCTTTCAAACTTTTTCCTTAGGAATTAACAAAAATGTAACATAAAAAATTGTACAAGCGAGTTGTGCTAGGCCCACGAAAAACCCGTGTGGCTCATATTGTTTAAGGTTATATATTTCATATCATGTATTTATAGCACGTTTAATATTTTTAGATTCGGAAATATTGAATACAATTAATGAAAAAGGAAATACGAGAAAATTTGGTTTGTCAGGATTAGACCAAATATTTTTATGACCATCGTTACTTTTAAAGAAAGATCTCCATTAAGAGCTGCAACATATTAGAATTAAAAATAAGTAAGCTCTTGACCCGAATTATAATTTGATTGAACCACTTTTTGGAATTGACCCAACATAGAACCAGTAACATTTGGGCCGGCCTGATCAACCGGGACACATTTGTAGCCCGCTGCAAGCAATAACAACCCCGCTAAGTTTGTCTACTTCACACTGACGAGTAGCTATTCTTCATGTTGAAGTGAATAATATTAGACGAAATAATTAAATTTTTTTCTTCATATTCAATTTAACATAGCTTTGCGTTTGATTGAGACTTGTGTAGGCAAGGAACAAGTCATGGACAAAGATAGAAAAGCAATGTTTTTAAGGGAAGATGAATTATTAATTTTTAGGTACCTAAGTTCTATTGTTTAAAAAATGCACCATATTCTCTAAATTCTAAAGCAGTCTGATTCTTAATCTATTTTCTTTGATGGGATGGTCTCAAAATTATAGTATTATTGGTATACAAAAGACAATTTTCGATATCGTAAATTCGTAACCAATTATCTTAAACATGCGACACTTGTTATGTTTACTGAAACATGTTTTGATGGTATGACATTAATCAATATAATAGACATCTCTCTTTCATTCAAGGATGATTATGTTACTAGTTAATGAGTATGACAATACATAAAGATACAATGTATGTATCACATGTAGAATCGTATCCTATTAGTTGACCTTAATTTTGTGTACATTACTGTTTATGAATGTTATTTCTTGTATTCATTGATTTATTTTTATTAAACGTGAAATGTACTGATTAAAAATGTTGGGACCATATATTTATAATAAATGTGACCATTAAGACCTAGACAATATCCTTTTCAAGAGGCCTCCTTTTTAATTTTTTAAAAGCTAACAAGTCAATCCACGTTAATAATGAAGTTTGAAATAAGCTTGTCCATGACAAAAGCAAAAAATAAAATAAAATCAATAACTTAGTCCCTGCTTATCTCCTTTTAAAATATATATATATATATTTTTAAAATTCTTGTGCTCACTTTCAACTACATATTTACACAATAAAATATTTTGATATATAAATCCAAACCTTTTCTATACTTTTTTTTTTTTAACTATACATTCTTCAAAAAACTGTTATTTAAAATTCACTTTCAAAATAATGGACGTAAAAAATGGGCTTAATAAACCTTGATAAAATAAAATGAAATTTCAAAAAAAAAAAAAAAAAAAAAAAAAAACCGAATCTAATTGAGTGAAAATGTGATCTAAGTGCAAAAAGCCCCAATTTCAACTAAATGATACATTTATCATGCAGTACACCCCTAATTTTGCAATTATGAAAAGGTGGGTGATGTAGTGGCACGACTGGTTAAGCTATAAATCCTTCATCAAATAAAGTTAAAATAAATTATTAATATATAAAAATAAAACTCTATTAGAACTCATTAAATAAACAATTAATCTAGTGGTATATAATGGGGTGTATCTAAGGGTGTATACCCCCTTACATGGGGTGTGTGGGGTACACCTGAATAAGTGTTTTTTATTCCGGTGGATCCCACACCCCATGTGAGAGGGGTGTACACGCTTAGGTACAAATGAACAATTTGATCCGAATGTCAAATGAGCAAATATATTTTAAAATTGATTTATTCAAATGAGCCACCATTTTGTATGATCATGTTAAACAATAAATTATATATTGAGTAAAGATGAAATGAATAATCAGCACATAAAGATATATGTTAATCCTTTAACGATGTTCGATATTTTAATATAGAACTAAATACGATAAATTACATAAAGATGAGTGTAATTTACACTCACCTATATTCTTTTTTAAAAAAATGTATTTTTAAATAGTATTTTGACATCATTTTAATCACACATTTTTAAATAAAATAATATTACACGTAAATCCAAAAATTTTCCTTATTTTTTAATCACACATTTTTCGTCAACACACTATTCAAAAATGCATTCTAATGAAAATAATGTGGCTCAAAAAAGGGATTAATACATAACTTTTAAGTTGTTAGGATGGCAAATGTCCCACTAGCGTCACCTTGTAATGGAACAGGGGTGGGGTATTATTTTTCTTTTATTTAATTTTTAAATTGAGGAAATTTCACGTAATGTCCATTTTCAACGAGTCATTTGCAAAAATGTCCACAATTTTGTCAATTTCCATTTTCCAATTATGTAGAGGAAAATACCATTGTTAGAAAATATTATTTCCACACAAGAATTCAAAATTTTCCATATCATTATTCATGTCAATCAACGTAGAAATGTCAATCAGCATTAAATGCCTGAATCGGGTAGGTGTGGGTCGATGTGGGTCGGGTTATGGGTTGAGTAGGTGCGGGTTGAGTTGGATCGGGTAATGGGTAAAAAATGGAAAACCTGATAGAACCCGACCCGAATACAAAAAAAATAAAAATAAATGAAGGCGGGGGAATGAAAAAATAAAAGAAACCCTTAACTAAGTCCTCTCAACTCTCACTCTCAATCTCTCAATCTTCACTCCGACCCAACCCGCCGACAACGAGCCTGTCCATTTCTCTCTTATTTTCCCAGTTGCCGTTTGCCCATCACACTTCAGAGTCCAGTGCTATAGAGTACGTTTATTTCGTTATTTTTTTCACTTCCCCAAGTCTCCCCTCTTCCTAAATCCTAAGATTTAGCTAGTTTAACATAAATTGATGTCAAGGTCACTCAGTGTCTCGATTCTATTAGGCGAGCAAATACTAACTGTTGATACAATTTGAGATAAAAAGTGGTACATGTGAGATACTGTCGAAAAGGTTGAAGAGGTAAAGTGTTTAAAGAAATCAGGAAAATGATTGTACTTTCTGTTGTCCCTGTTATTGTATCTTTTGCTTTGAGATATAATCTATATGTCAACTAAATTTGATGTTGCTAGATGATAAATAACACTAGTACGAAGTGAAGAATACTCCATTTGAGGCATATTTCGCATCTAAGTTAGGCAATAAACATGATGAAATGACACAGGTTGTGTTGCTATTATACACTCTTAGACTGTTTCAATGCTCATCGGCAACTAAATGGCTTCATTTTCGCATCAAATTTGTTCTGCATCTTGTTGAGGGTTGCATTTGTATATTGATGGTTTCTTATGGAGGAAGACTGTGATAGATTGATAGCAGATAGAAAACTTTGTCAAATCTTATGAAATGTATACTTGATTTTGCGTATGGTCTGTTGTAGTTGGCTCTAAATTTATTTAATACAAGGCTATGTTGTTGTTATTTCTTTTGCTAAAGAATATTGCATTTTCGGTTTATTTGCATATCTAAATTAGGCAATTAACTTAATGAAATTGTAGAAGATTGTGTGTATACTTTTGAACTGTTTGAATGGTGATCAACTATAAAATGGTTACATGATAGCTTCAGATCAAAAGCCAGGTTTGTTTTAATTTCAACAATTAAACAACTTAGTTTAGATATGGTATTTTATCACACCATTGTATTGTAAAAATCATTTTTCTTTCACTGCATTTTAACAAGAATGTTATATTTGATTTCATTTGTACGTTCTCATACTATTTGTTAAAGTATTGTTTTCATTTGTTTTGATTTGTAGATGAGTATGACACACCGGCCCATGTGTTGCAAGTGAGCAACACAAAATATATATCAGTTGTCCTCAACAAATTGGATCCACAGCAAAAGCGTCAGTTGGAGGACAGTTGTATAGGACATGTTGCAAAGTTACCGGAGCTAAAACTATCTGCTCAATTAATTCATGAAATGGTAAAC